GAGTTACATGTAGATATACTGATAGATACTGAGGGGCAGTCTTTTGACTGGGCAAGAAAGATGATGATGCTGCTGATTCCTGCTGCTAAGATAAAATTCCTTTAACAGGAAGGGACCTATGTTGCCCTGGACTTCTCTACGGCTGGCAGACTGCTGCCCACCAGTAAGCATTAGGAATGAAACACACCTTAGGCCCTACTTCCCTTGTGGTAACTATTTGCAACTGATTCGTCACATCGTTTCCCAAATCCTGTTCGTGCCTGCCTGGATGCCACAAGGACACTGGCTGAAAGAATTTCTGCTATTTGGCAAAGGTTTCAAATAGTGCATAAGTCAGCTCCAAGCAGCCACGGAGGGACGCACCTGGGGATAGAGAAGTGCAGCTGGCTGTAACAGCACATGTGGTGCGTGCAGCACGGTTCTCCAATATTTAAAAGTTTAAAAAAGCCACATATCTTATATATAATCAGCTGAACTAATCAGGTTATTCCCTATATAAGAACTATGAGGCTTGATATAATCTCCAGTCTATACAGGAGGTATACAGAACTCCTCCAAAACAAATCATTCTAAACACTATTTAAGACTTTGGAAATAGAACGTCTACACCCTCCCCTGACAGATTATCTAGTGTAAATCACTTTACTAATGAGAAAGTTCTTTCTTAAGCCCAGAAAACAACTCTTTCATGTGGCTATTCTGGCGTTCAGCTTCTTACTGGCCAAGGAGAACTACAAGCTGGCTTCTTTGTGATAATGGTTTTCAAATACATGAATGATTAACTCTGAACTATTCTGTATCCTTCTTTTCTTAAAGCTTAATAATCCAAATTCCTTTACTTTTCCCTATAAAATCCTATTTTTCCCCCCATCTTTTAAAGCCTTCAGTAGCTCATCGACTGAGTTGGTTCCTGAACCTGTGAGGTGTCTTGGCCTGCAAGTTGGGCTTGAGCCAGCCCTGCCCGCAGCGCACGGGGTGTGATGTGGATCCCACAGAGGCATCAGCGTGTCGCTCCGTTTCTTCCAGCTTTAGGTAGAGTGAGGTGAGGGAGCCAAAGGGAACACAGAGAAAGGCTGGGCCTGAGCCCAGGACAAGCTTAAGAAGACAAGTGGGAAGGATGATAACTTGACAGTTGAGTTGAGAATATTAAATAAGGCACTGAAAAAGTTCTCTAGTTTATCGCCAAGCCTCCAATACCCTAAAGCTCAACAGGCTGCAAGTGCATAAAGATCAGCTGCATGTCAAGTCTGCCTGTTGCTAAAGAGCTCAGTGGGTTCATCCCTGGGATGGAAACTCATGCTTGCCTGTCTTCCTGCATGCCTGTCTTCCTGAAGCAGAATCAGACGGCCCCTCCTTGAGCCACAAAATGCTACCCATAAGCCCATAAGGCACTGCTGTGAACACAAACACATTTGTAAAGCCAAAGCTGTTCACAGTGTGACAAGTGACCTCGGAATAGAACTCAATTTCTTCTCTTCTCTAACCAAATCCAGAATTAATTAAAATATGTTAAAAATCAAGACATGAAAAAACCCTATTGGACTTCCCTGGAGTTAAGTGGATAAGGATCCACTAGCCAATGCAAGGGACATGGGCTCAGTCCCCGGCCTGGGAAAACCCCACATGCCTTGGAGCAACTGAGCTGGTGCACCACAAACAGCAAGCTGCAACTCTACAGCCCATGAGCCACACCGGCTGAGCCCACTTGCTGTAACTACTGAAGCCGAGGCGCCCTAGAGCCTGCGCTCTGCAACAAGAGAAGCCACCGCAGTGAGAAGCCCGCGCAGCAAAGCAGAGGCGTCCCCGCTAGCCCCAACTAGAAAAGCCTGCAAAGAACAAGGACCCAGCAGAGCAGAAAAAACAAGGACAAAAACCCTCTAGTTTCTGACAAACAACAGCAAACAACCTCCTCCCTCGCTTCTTTCTTTCTGCCCCCTCAACCCTCTACTAAATGCCATTGTTCAAAAGGGAATAAGGGCATCGTGGAACTCGAGAAACTTTCATACTAGCACGCCCCACAGGCTGGCTCTGAAACTTTTATTCCCTCAACCTTGTCCTCTCTTTCAGGACCTGTTTCCTTCAGCACACTTATCAGAATGCTTAATAACTGTCTTCACTTTTTAAACTGTCCTCCACATTATTCATCTACTCATGGGATTAACATTTACTGAATGCCACTCTGCACATCAGAGGAATCATTCACTGTTCGGCAGGAGATTCAGCATAGAACAGAGCAAGGCAACCACAAGCCCCTGTTCTCACAGAGAGCATCTTCTCCTTAGGAGAGACACAAGACGAACAAGTCAGTCAAGGAAATCCACTATTTCAGGTAGTGTCAAGTGCTGTGGAGAAAAATAAAGCAGGAAGAGGGAGTGTGGAAGAAGAGGTGGTGATGTTCAAGAGGGGGTTGAGGAAGACCTCCCTCAGGAAGTGCCAGTCCAGCAAAGACCCGAATGAGGTGTAGGGCCAGCCACGCAGGTGTCAGGGGAGTAGGAAATCCTGAACCGGTACGCCTGGGGTGTTCGAGGATGGTCAGGTGCCCTGAAAGGCTGGTGGGGAAAGGGGAGGAGTGGGGAAGATGGAGTCAGAGCAGGAAAGGGTGGCCAGACCACGGAGGCCACTGGGAGGGCTCTGAACTGTATTCTGAATGAGACAAAAAGCAAGCTGAGGATTTTAAATCAAGGACTCACATTGCTGGGGACAGAACAGGACAGGGGCAGAAGCTAGGGCACCTGTGAGGAGGTGGAAGATGTACAGTGATTGAGACCATGAAGGCAGTGGTAGGAGGGCTGGAAGCCGCTAAATCCTGCAAATGCTGTGAAGGCAGCGCCAACATAACTGCTCACGGAATGACGTGTGGTACGAAGAAAGGAGGAGGTGGCAAGGATAATCCAGGCTCAGGGTCTGCAGCAACCGGAAGGACGGTGTCACCATGACCTGAAATGGCACAGGCTGAGGGAGGGACAGGTTTGGGGAAGAGAAGCAAGGGCTGAGATCCGGACAGGTTCTGTTGGAGAGTCTATTTCACAACCAGGTGGAGAGGCCGAGTAGACAATTGGATACAAGTCTGTCTTTCAGAAGAGCAGTCTGGGTTAAAAATATAAACTGAGACTGTTAACATATGATGGAATTTAATGGCATGGGCCTGAGTGAGATCACCAAGGAGAACCAGATAAGACAATGTGTCCAAAAATCATGCCCTGAGGCAGGCTGGTATTTAGAGGTCAGGGAAGGGCAGGGGGACCCACAAGAACCAGCAAAGGAGCCTGAGAAGGGGCAGGGAGCCCAAGAGGGCAGCAGGCCAAGTAAGGAAAAGGTTTCAGCAGTGTTAGGGGGGTCACAAGACAATCAGGAATTGGCAGGAAGGGAGGGGCTATATCAAGAGCACCTGGAAGAGAGCCTGGCACATGGGAGGTGTTCACCTTTGTTGAACGCCTACATGGCGATCTTCCATCCTAACCTCCCAATGATGATCTCTAAGGCATGTTCTTGCTCTGACATCTGGTCCTGAATTCTTGTCCGGTGCTCCTTCGTATGTTCTTTCTATGATCTAAATTTTATTGCAAATAAAATATTTTGCACGATGCTTAATGTACAATTAGTAATCAGGCATTAAACTCAAAATCTATTTTCCTTCACCTTAAAATCAATTCTGGCTTAACCATAAGAAAGTACTGGCTTTTAAAAACAGATTTAAATTGCCAGTCAAATGCCAACTACTGATAATCTAACTGGTGCCCAGCAGAGGATCACCTAGCACTACTTTCCACCGTCATGGTGACGGTGGGGGAGCTTTCAGGTCTTTATTACTGTGACGTGGTAACTGCTCAAATGGTACAAAATCACTGCCTGATATGGTGAGAAATTGAATTTGCATGAGGGTATTTAAAGTTATAAATTCAGCTGCATGACTTTGGGCAGACCAATCCATGAACAGAGTCTATATACAGCTCCACAAAAAGGGAAGAGGCTACAGACACTGCTTCTCTTTTCTACACCCACTCTCTGAAACCCTAGGAACACTAATGACATTGCAAATTAAGTATTTAAGCAATATTTTTTAATAATAAGTATAATACTTTCTTACCCATAATTTCTTATTTGCTGAAATAACTACCCGGTATGGAGACTTAACTTCTTCCCTAGTGGGAGCCCTCAGGGCCTCGCCCACACGCCTCTTGCCATTCACGGTTCATTCGGTACTGTGGCCAGTGGTAGACAGTCTGCTCCTTTTGGGGCTGAATCTTGAGGCCACAGATTGCCGTCTCTTCAGCTTTGAAACTTGCTCAGCACTGAGCACAAAGCTTTGTACATGCAGGACTTTCGTGGGCCTTTAGCAGGACCTGATAGTGGACCAAACTTACATCAACCTGCACTAAGTTCGGGTATATAATACCCGTGTAATTAACGGGTATTATATACTTACGTTACCTTTTAGAAAGGAGTACAATTTCACAATATTACTGAATTAGATTACTACATTTGTATTCCTTTTGTGTTTACTGTGTTTTGATGTTAAGATTTTATAATGCTAAATTACATAAGCAGCATCTGTGACTCCAGCACATAATAGGCTTTCTATAAGTCAGAATAAAAGGTGGACTACATGTGTGCATGTGTGTCATTAGTGAGCGATTTAAAAGTATTCTTAAGTACCAGTTGATGGACAAATGTCACATTTAATTCTTTTTTTCTAAACAGAGGTTTTTAAGTAGGGAATATTTTTTGTTAGAACATACAGTTTTTTATGTCAAGTTATGTTGCTCCCGCTCTATTTTACAGAATTTAAAAATTCTCATTTTGTTCTTTTTTTTTTTAAGGAAAAATACTTTTATGTCCTCCTCGATCTTTTTCTTCAAGCTTCTGTAAAAAGAGCATGTCTTAATGAAATGTCATAAACCCATTTTGAAAAAAAAAACCACTGTAGAGAAGGAAAAAAAAAAATAAAGCAAATATCCGTTAATCCCTAGAGGAAACGAAACACGGCAGTGCGTTGGTACTGACCTGCGGACGAATTTGGACGTTATTTTGCTTATTATACCAGTGGACGTGCCCCTCCTGGCGTGCGTGAAGGCCCCCGGCTCGTGGGACGGGGAGGCGGGCGGCCCATTGTAGGCGGCGCTGCGGCGCTCGCGGAGCTGCTCCCCGTGGAAGGTGCTGCGGCTGGAGCTGCCGCGGGGGAAGCGGGTGCGGTCGGGGGTCGAGGCGCTAATACTGTGAGCAGACGGCGACGCAGCGGGCACGCGCTGGGTTGTGCTGCTGAGACACAAACCACGGAGAATGGTTTTGCTCATGCTAAAAACTGTTAGAAAGTTGCCATGGCTACTTTTATGCGGCCCTGTTCTATTCGTTCTGGTGACAGTGATGCATGTGTTCACTGTAATTACCAAGACACTATCATCTCAGACTAAGTGCCTTTTATAAAAATTTAGTTACTAAAGATTAAGAAAGTACTGAAACAATTTCTCCATCTCTTTTTTTTAATGTTCTTTCTCAAGCCATCAAGCATAGTAGAAAAGCTTTTGCATACCTATATAAAAATAATATGTACAATACATATATTTTAAAAAACCTATCGAATTTTTGCCTAACTAAAAAATTTATGATATTTTGATTCAATTTGTTTGACTTAGTATGAATAGAATGTTAGATTTCGAATTTAAAAAATAGATACGCAACAAGCAAAAAAGGTTTATTGAATAGTGGAAGAAACTATAGTCAGTATCTTGTAATAACCTATAATGGAAAATAATTTCAAAAATATGTGTATATGTATAACTGAATCATCTTGCTATGCACCTGAAACATTTTAGGTCAACTATACTTCAATAAAATATATGTATTAAGAAAAAAAAAAGAAATTACTGAAACAGGGATATAAAGATATATATCACATATACATATATTCCTGATACTGGAATTCAGTTTCAGGAATGCCAAACATGGGGCACTGCATGCAATTTTTTGTCCCCCCATTGTTCTCTTAAACCAGTCAGCAATGTGGAACACAAATTTTATTGTTTATCAAAAGGCTTTGAATTGAAGGCTTATTTCCTATTTACAATTCAGTCCTGAGTGACAGACAGTAAATGCTACCAGATACCAACGATATGATTAACAAACCTATCAAACATGTTTCTGAATTTGAAAATTCTTAATATACAGAAATACCAGAAAATAATTTAACTTTATAACTGAAAGGGATCTTTGAGATTATCTGTTTCACTGATAAGAAAATTAAAAGTTCTTCTTAAGAACAAGTGACTGGCCAGAGCCAAGAAGATTAATCAGGTCTCAACCCCCAGTCTTGTGGGTTGGAATGTTTCTGTTTGTTTTTAAACCATAAAAACTCAATTTATTTAAATGATAAATTAGGAACAACCCTTTATTTCATGGATGGGTTTAAAACAAAATCCTTGAAGAAAATTCCTCTAGAAAATGACTTAAATTATAAGCAACATTTCTGGTAACAGCTGGAGGATGTAGTAAGTTTCTGTTACAATTTAACTTTACCTCTGCCATAAACACTGAGTGTTTCAAAAAAGCTGTTAAAATGTGATGGCTATCAGGTATTTTTATATAGTGCTATATTTTTAAAAAACTCTTAATGACAAACGAAATGCAACCAGCATGTTACCCGGGCCTGTAAGCTTCAGAGCTGTCTTTAATGGTCGGCAGTGTGACTTTAATGGGATGGCCGGAAGCAGACATGGACTTCTGGTGCCGGGGTCGTGCTGAGGGCACAGCAGAGGCCACGGCGGAGCCCGCAGAGGACATGCTGCTCGCGGACATCTCTGTAAGGCTTTCAACGCAAGCCGGTTGAGAAGATCATGGAGATATCAAAAAGAAGAAAAGCTGTAGTTTACTAAAATTTAAAAATTAGATTTTAAAAAGTCTAACATCTTTCATGACAGACACTTAAAAGAAATCAACAACAGTGGTATTATTACTGACTGACAACAATATTGTTAAAAGTGTACAGGGTGAATTTATCACAACCTTCCATGGAAAAGATTTCACACACTCTTGTTCTATACATGTGAATCTGAAATCTATAACATTATTTTTATGGGTAAAATGATTATGACCAGAGACACTTCACACTTTCCAAAAAAGAAAAAAAAAAAATCACAGTTTGGTATGATGTATTGATGTGGCTCATCGCCCACTAATCAATAAGAATTCATAACTGTAGCAAAAATCCTCTCTTGAAACATCATCAAAATGCTTTTAGCTCAGTTTTAGGTTAAACTGCTACAGATTAAAGGAGCTGCAAATTAGGATTTAGTAAAGGGAAAAGAGTAAAATAGAAATCAATTCCCGACAACCTCTCTAGCCTAAAGGCTCTTATGTCCAAGGAAGATTCATTTACCTTTCTATGACTCATAGTAACATTTACTTTAAGTGCTTATTAACTGAGAGGAAATGAGTATAAGAATGGTCTGTCAAGTCTACTAAAATGACTAGGGATGGAACTAAATAGAATTTATTACAATAAACTCCATCATTTGGTGATCTACTGATGAGCAGACCTTACAACTCACGATGAAAAGAAGTCAAATTTTTTAAATAATAAAACATGATTTATCATTATTTGAAATAAAACACTCTGAGAACTGTGTGGTCTCAATGATCAGTTGAGATGGCCACATTTCTTTAGAAGAAGGAAAACACAGTCTTATGTATTTGTATATAATGATGATTAGACAGGGTGGGTGGGAAGGGAGAAGGTAAGAAGGAAGCAGCAGAGGTATAATAGAATAAAATTCAGGACTTCCCTGGTGATCCAGTGGCTAAGATTCCAAGCTCCCAATGCTGGGATCTCAGGTTCGATCCTTGGTCAGGGAACTAAGATCCTACATGCCACAACTAGGACCCGGTATGGTCAAATAAATAAATAAAAATAAATACTTTTTTTAAAAGAACAAGATTCAAATAATGAAGATAAGATTAGGACACTGTGATAGGTTTTGCTATAGGGAATTATTTACTATCAGATTTTATTTAGATAATCATATATTAAGAGATTTACCTCCTATTTTCCCAAAATATTCTTCCATTGCTCCATTCTGCTATTCATGAGGAGGTGCCTTAGGAAGCATGGCCGGTTGCCACCTAACTAGTGATTCTATTTCCTTTCCTCTTCACCTGTTCAGCTACAGGAGTTGTACTAAGAGCACAAACGCAAAGCAATGACACGGGCAGTCCTACCGGGCATGGTGACAGTTACCTGCTGTCTTTTCCGTTCTGCAACGCTGTGTATCGATCTGTGGTTCTTTCACAGACATATGTATTCCTTCTTGCCATGCTACCTCCTGGATACACATTGTTCTTTAAGGAGGGAAAAAAAAGACACACATTAAAAAATTCTAGCTGTAGTTATGGAAAGCCAAAGAAATGAATTCAAGCAGCAAGTAACTCTGGAAAAATCCATGGTGGACCTTTAACTTTTCAGAATCTTATACTAACAAGGTCTCTCTCCCACCACTCTCTCTTGAAGGAGTAAAAGGCAGAGCATAGCAGGTGCCTCACCGTGTTTTTAGCTGACTGTCCTGCAGCAGTAGTTGTTTGGAAGCAACAAAAAAGCTGGGCTTTATTCACGCCTCTGTGTGCTGGCGATGGGGTGGTACACAGGTAGCTTGAGGGGGCCATGCACCAGAGACAGCCCACACGAAGTATCACTTAGCTCCACACTAAAGATCATCACAAACAGGAACCCTGGGGCCCTGACAGTGGAAGGCCATTCTGAAGCCTGTGGGTGTCCATTCTGCACCTGCTTGGGAAACCCTCACAGCCCTGGCAATGTAAAGAGACCAAAACGTGTGCCGTGCCACCCAGGGGAATATTCCCTCTTTTCAACTACATAGATATACAGTGTTTTCTTTTAACTAATAAATCCCTAATTTTTGAACATGTAATTATTCCTTACTTTGCTTTTAGAGACTACTGAGGAGGTTTAACTGGAGATTAAAATTTAAGAGGAAATTAACTGGAAATTTAAAAGTTAGAGGAAAAATCCTGGAAATAAATAATAGAAAGGGGGAAAAAAATCCTGGAAAACTATAAAACTACAAAGAGATTACTAGAAGTCTGTAAAATTATCCAATGGGAACCAAATGTAGCAACATAAGAATCCATCTTTGATCATTTCACTGTCTTGGCTGAATTGTCATACGAGTAACCTAATTTTAAACAAAAAATCTAATTTTGAATAAACTCATTGTCAGATATGCTACCATACCTCCCCTCTAGAGACCTCTTAAACTTTTCTGGCTGCCTTCAGCTAAGACTGCTTTCCTTCTCCAAGTGTGACGAGTGAAGCACTTCTTCAAAACGGGGCCTTCTGAGTCTGCTGCTCACAGGCCGCCTCCCTGGCCTTGTCCCTTTCATGCCATTATGCTAATACTAAGTGGCCAAGAGAAAAATTTCTCAACCAGAATCTTTTGGCTTATGTTAAAAAAAATAAGTGTGGCATAGTAAATCTGAATTTAAGCCAATGCCTTCTTTAAATGAAAAAAATGTGCTTTGGACACCCACTATGCACGTGACCACTAGTGATTCTGAGGAAGCAAGTGTGCTGGTATATAACAGGAGGACACAAATGTGGGGAAACAACAGTGAACAATGCAAGGCAGCATATAACTAAGAGCTACATAATGTGGTCCGGTGATCAGAAAGGCCGATAAGGTAATTTTAGAGTATTCAGTTACGGAGGCTCCAGTAAGAAGCAGGACTCGAAATGATCTACAGAAATGGGATTTTCATAATGTGAGGGGGAACTTTAAGCAAGAGCACCACATAGAGACAGTGGAAACCGCTGAGTATATTTATGGGAAAATAAGACCATGCTGAGTTGAAATGACCGGTAAACAGCAGAATGGCATGCAATAAAAGGTGAAATTATTTCTTTCTGTTATATGTGGTGATGACACTCTGGCAACCATCCTCTAGTTGATATATAAGTAAGAGGAAGGCATTTGTCTAAAAAATTGCTTATAAAAATATATTAAACTCTATTGTAGTCAAATCATTTCCAAATAGATCAGATGGAATGTAAGTGGCTATATCCATTAATTCTTAAAGTGGTTATATACAGCTATTTCATAGACTAAGAGGTAATGATCACATCACATATTTTTAAAACATGTGGTTTCCATTATGTGTATAAAACAATAGGTACTGGGGAGTTTAACCCATTTACAATTAAGATTATGTTAGGCTTTCTGGTACCTTATTTCATGTTTCTATTTAAACTGTTTTTTTCTTTTTTCTCTCCTTCCCTACTTTCCATAAGCTAGATCACTTTTTTTTCCTTCTATTGGCTTAAAAGTTATACATTTTATTTTTGTTCTTATATTTTTTGTCCTTAAGTTTCTGAACTCATTTTTGCTTACTGCTACAGGTGTCCCTTGTTATAAAATTGGGATTAGCTCCAGGACCCTTGCAGTTTCCATGATCTGTGGAGGCTCAACTCCTTGATATAAAATGACTGAGTACAGTCAGCCCTCTGTGCATCCACAGGTCCCCTGTCCACAGCTTCAACCAGTCATGGATGGAAATCAAGGGCTGACTGTACTGATTTCCTAAACCTCCCTCCCATCTTCCCTTTTAAGGCATATGCTTTTTCCTTTAATTTCTATCCCTATCCTCACTTCCTGGATATCATCCAGAATTTTGGTTCTGAATTTTCACTGTTTTTTTCTTTTTTTGTGTATGTTATCACCATACATACTGTGATAAGTTAGCTGATTGCTTTCAAATTCCATATATTTTACAGAGTATTGTAGATACCTTTCTCTTCCTATAAGTATAGTTCCTCAGACAGCAGTTTTTTCAAGTGAATCATTGTATCACAAGAGTTGAAATACTTTACTGGTAAGAATATTCTTCTTTACATATGTGGTCACAAAGAGTCAGACATGACTGAGCAACTGAACTGAACTGATAATTTTTTTTTCCTCCCCGCCCCCTGGCTGACATTTATATGACAGTCTGGTTGGGTATAAAATTCTGGATTCAACGTGCTTTTGATACTTTAGAAAAAATATTTTTTATCCATTTATCTTCTGCATCCATGTTGAGAAATCTGATGTCAGTTTGCTTCTTGTTCCTTTTTAGGTCACCTCCTGTCTCATTCTGAAACCTTTAAAGTTTTTCCTCTTTGTTTTTGGTATCCATATATCCCACTTTAATGAGCCCAGGAATAAGTTTTCCTTCTATCTTCTGTATGCCCTTTTGAGTCCTTTTAATATGAAGTTTTCCATCTTTTTTTTTTTTTACTGTACTTCTTCAAATATTTCTTCCCCTTCATTTTGCCCTTTTTCTTTCTAAACTCACACTTCCTAAATGCTACTAATTCTACTTCTATCCTTTGTATGTCTTGGCCTTCCTTTATATTTTCTCTTCATTCTTTGCTGCTGCCTTAAGGTAGATGTCTCAATCTGTCTCATAGCTCTCATTATCTAATTTCTATAGTTTTCTGTTTTAAGTAGATAATGTGAGTTAACTCTGTAAATTAATTATTGCTATAGTCTGCCTTCACTGAACAGTTTATTTGTAAACATAAAATTAAATGCACCAATGAAATATACTATCAAGTAATTATCACAAACATGAAAACTGAGGCAGCAAAGTTTAATGTACTTTCCTTGTGATAAGGTAAATGTTATTTTAAGAATTTGTATTTTTTTGTTCTTAAAGTACATTTATTAGAAGCTTGGCCCCCTTTGCATGTTCTTTAAATGTATGATTTACTTTAAATTTTGAAACTTAAAAAAACAATTTTAAACCTTTAAATAAAAAAATTTCAACAACAAATAACTACAGCATATTGCAATATGCCAGAATAATCACTCACACTTGGAATAGTTGAAGACTTTTTCCTTTCTGGCCCTACAAGAGGGCTTGCAGTCATCTCACTTTTTGATCCAACTGTTGTGCTGCCAAGTTTACGAGACACATCTTTGTCCCACTCCTCTTTCTGTTCACTTTCCACGCTGTTAGCCTGAGGCCTTTTGGTATATGATACAGCAGGAGGAATGGATGGACCAGCTGTAATTTTTAAAAAAGTGTAATTAACTGAAAAGCAACTGACATGTTTTCTTCTCACAAACAGAAACTTTTGTATTAAAAATAATCTTTATTTGCATACTTTACACTTTGAGCGAAGATTAAACTGTTTGATTACAAAAATTAGGTCAGCCCCTGAAAACAGTATTATATTAATCATTCAATAATATAAATCTGTGATAACTGGGGATGACACAAGGACATAAATATGTGAACTGTAACTGTATAATGCTTAACAAAAAATGCAAGTTTGGGCAGACTTGGTCTGTCTTTGGACTCATTTGACTCTCCCCCACCATGATCACTAAAGCGTCGCTGCTTCTGGTTTGCTGAGATGCTCCGCTGGACCTTCAGGTGAGCAGGGGACTGTAGGGTGCTGTTGTTTAAGTCACTGCTGGGCCGGGACCTCTGACACAGGTTTCCACTGGATAACGATTCGCCACCTTCAAACTATAAGAAGAAGAAAGACAGCCAGCATTTTAAAACAAAAAAAGTTCATAGAAACAAAATACACTCTCAATTTTCCAATTTATCTCAAGTCATACAAGGAGCAATCAGACGTAAGAAAATGAAGTTTGGATACAGAACTGAGACTTGGCAAACAGGAAGGGAGAGGACCAGCTAGCACATCCTTCCACAAGAACATGTCATCTTCTGTTATCTTGAGCAAATGGCTTTGGGTCTTCTGGGTCCAAAGAACAGCTACCAATTCTTGAATGGTTATTATATACTAGCTGCCATGGTGGAGGACTTCCCTGGTGGCTCAGATGGTAAGACTGGGTGTGATCACTAGGTCAGGAAGATTCCCTGGAGAAGGAAATGGCAACCCACTCCAGTACTCTTGCCTGGAAAATCCCATGGACTGAGGAGCCTGGTAGGCTACAGTCCATGGGGTCACAAAGAGTCGGACACAACTGACCGACTTCACTCACTCAGCTGCCATGCTAAACTTTCTATATGTGTTACTTTCTTTAATCATTACAGCAAACCTATGATCTATTAACCTGTACTTTTTAGATGTAAAAGTTGAGGATAAGAGATTCAAGAGACATCTTTGGGATTTGAATTCAGGTATAGCTGGGATTCAAACTTGGGATGAGACCTAAAATTTTTACTTCACACACACACATTTTTTGTTTTGTTTGGCTTTCTCCACCACATTCACAAAACAAAAATGAGGTTTACTGGCTGTGACTCAGAAATTATAACGACTTAGAACTAAGCATGGTAAGCTGGGGATTGATACACTGTCCTCTCTGTAACACAAAAGTATTTTGTTGCCAGTAACTTCTTACTGAATCACTGGCTTTCCAATGGGAAATCTAATATGCAAAGCTGCTAATGATAAAGAGCAGAGTAATATTGATAATCAACACTTTAAAAGACAACAGCTGACACAAAAGACATAGTAATGTGCCAGAAAGTGTTCTGAGGACTTGAGAAGTATTAATTCATTTAAACTCTTTCAGTGATGCTAAGAAGTAGGAACAATTACATCCTCATTTTATAGACCAGGAAATTGAAGCACAGAGAAATTAAGTAAATTGCCTAAGTCACACAGCTTGTTAGTGGCTGTGCTAGGGGAGGGGATGGGTGGGAGTTCAAATCCAATGACTCTGGCTCCAAAGCTCAGGCTCTTACTACTTATAGTAGTTTTACTAATTTTTATCAATGCAATTCAAACTTCATTTTAATTCATGCATGGGCTAGGTTGTATGCTTATAAAATTTAAATTAATAGGAAAACTAAAGATCTCAGGAGTAAAATCTAAAATCCAAGTAAAAACAGGTCAAAGTCTTTAGAAATAATCATTTATACTATTTCCCACTTCTTAAAATTCTCTTGGCTTGGCTTCTCTGACACCACTGCCTCAGCTCTTAGCATTTCTACTGAAGACCCCTTTCCTATGCTCTAACAGTACTTACCTGGTAGGGTTGTTGAGAGGATTAGATGAATTAAAAAAGTAAAGTCCTTAAATCAGTTCCTGGCACATTACTGGGTGGTCCTCTAATGACAACTCACAATTCTATTAATGCTATTCAACTCATTCCCTTCAGATCCAGATCTTTATATCCAAATGACTACTGAAAAGCTCCAACCAATGGGAAGTTCAAATTCAACCACCCCAAACTGAACAAGCCTCCCATCGTCCCCGAGATTCACTCTTTTCCTGTCTTGACAAATACGTCTTACATAACCAGTCACCTGCACTACAAGTCTGAGGGTCTCTTATCTCTCATTTCCAACAGGTTATCAAACACTGTTAATTCTACCTCTTACATGCCTTGGCTCGTTGTGGGCGTCTGTCCTCTTACATCCCAGAGTTTCCTGTGCACCCTCTCAGAGCACTTCCCACACCGTACCACACTACGGACTGATTCCCTCCCCTCCACACTGAGAGCAACCTGAGAGCAGAGACCTTCTAATCTTTCTATTCCAGTACGTAGCATGATCTCTGGTACAAAGCAGGTTCAATAAATGTCAGCTGAATGTACTGATTCACTAATAGTTACTATTTACTTATAAATAATTTAATCCTATTCTACAAAATGCCTCCCACCAACTGTCAAAGCTCTGGGCTATTCTTGACTCTCAATTTATACTTTTGTATTTGCTGGCCCAAAGGATCATTTGCTTTCATGGCTCAATAACCACTGGCATAGTGACTTCTTTACTCTCTCTCTCCCTACTATAGATCTCGACTGGCCTTGAGAATTCCCAGTTGATGTATAAAAACACTTGACACTCTACAAGGCAAAACATATCACAAAATGATCCTTCCCTGGGCTCCCGCCTGTATTTTGTTTTAAATGCTGTTGTGTCCCTTTGTTTCAGTTACTGGTGTTCTGTGCGCCTGGAATAACCATGCTTCCTTTGGAAGGGCTCCTGCATTTGGGGGATGCTGTTCTCACGAACCCGATGGAACAGGGCCTCTCAGAGCTAAGCAAGACACGCCTACTCTTTCCAAACAATCTCTTCTTATTCAGAGATATAAGATTAGTTCATAACTTACCACTGTGAATTTTGAATTCTAATAAATAAGAATGTTAGTGTTTTTATATTTTTTTATACCATCTAGAATATATTTGCTAATATTATATCTATACTTAAGCTGTAACTTAGCTTAAAAAATAATCTGAAAACATTAATCTGAAAAGGTGAAAAACTTACTTCAGGTGGTTTTCTACCTAGCAGAATATAAGTAGCCATGACTTCATCATATTTCTGATTTATTAAGGCATCATTTATCTCATCTCGTACAAATCCCATGGTGATCATGATATCTAGAAATAAAAAACAAAATGCAAAATTTCTTAAAATGAGCGTATTTTAGTAAACAAACCAACAAAAATGGGCAAGTTTGTCCATATTAGGTATGAAAACTAAGTTCTAACATTTTAAAGTGTAACTTTAATATAAAAACTTCTGGTCTACTAATATACAGATTCTATGTAGTTAGATACTGTACACCCCCAATTTTTCAGGCAGAAACTCTCTCATGAGTCAACATATTTCCAAGCCTACTCCATTTTTGCCTAGCACATTCTTGAGCTGAGTTCCTTTGTCCAGATATAGTATCTGTCTGTGACATACACAGAGTATCTTCTCTCTCTTGCAACACATAATCAGGCACTCATGGAGCGGTTTCTCTCATCACTTGACAAATTTGGTTTCTGAACTGTAGGCAGGTTGATTCTTCGGAAGGCTTGAATTCCACAGTTCTGATCAGATTTCTACCTCCCTCAAATGCTCCTCCTTTGCTGTTCTGCCCTCAAGCAAGACAGGAGCAGAGCCGAGATGACTCAGCTCTGAGTTTCTGATGGCTTTGAGAAGGAAGGGGGAGTAGGCTGGAAGCGGACACTCACTCACTGGGTGTGGAGGATGGACCCTGCTGAATTAGTGGGAAACCAAAGTGCTCCTCCCGCTAACTCACTGCCTCTATATTTTTGGTTAAAATATGTGCTATGTTTTGCTGATATTTATCAGTCTGAAAAGTGCTGATTCTTAAATCAGTCATTCCTCTCGTTAGGAACTGTTGAAAGAAAAGGATGAGGCTTATTTACATTGTTTCCATTTTTATATCACTGTTGCCAACAATTGTTTTAGATTACAATACATGAGAACAAAATAAGGAACTTGAATTTTGCAATGTTTAGTGTATATCTGCAGAAAGAAAAGATGATAATGTAAGCATTTTTCAAATAAAAACTCCTTCCAATTTACATTTTAAACACAATTTTGGTAGACTAAAGGACTGACTTATAGCCTCGGGACAGCACCTCTCACAATACTTAAATGCTTACCTATTCTTTTCATGTCATTGAAATCTGGTTCAGGCTCAGCATATGGCTTTAGTTCTTCTTCTTCATGACCAACATTCATCCACCGATCTTTCATTATTTGCTACGAAATAAACTCTACATTATGTTTGGCCAACATTCAACCACTTATATTAGCTCTTTTTTTAGTAAATGTGAAATTTGCTAGTTTAATTAACAAGAATCATGTGACATTTTCAAACTAAAGTTACTGTTTCTAGTTTAATTAGCAGGCCAACAGAACGTATAGGCCTGAGACATACTTGTATTAATACATCTTATGACAACTATACCCAGCATCCTGCACACTCACCAAATGAACTGACTCAAAATACACTGCCTGCTGCCTATGTTCCTCTAAAAGGAGTATTTTCACACACCTACTGATTTTAACTTCTATGTCGTATTTTTACAGTTAAGAATGATGAAGAAATTTTTGTCTTGGTCTTCTACCAAATATATACCGTGCTGATTTTAAAATCATCTGCTATATTTTAGAATCCTCACTAAAACATTAGGAAAGAAGAGATCACAGGAAATGGAAATCAGGGTTAGGCAATGATGATAGCTTATAGAATATGGGAAGAGAGGACAGTTAAGATTTAAGTCTAGAACTAAGAATTATTAAGAATCAGTGTGAAAACAGGCACTGGTGTGCATTACCAGAGTCAAATTTAAGCCGACACTGAAACAACAGTCAACCCTGGGCTATTAAAAGGCAACCTGGGAGAGGCAGTCTATGGAACAAGGAAACTATTGGCAAACCATACATCACATAAGGGGTTAATATCCAGAACATATAAACAACTCCTATAACTCCATAACAACAAAAAATTGCTCAAAATAAAAAATGGGCAAAGGACCTGTATAGGTATATCTCCAAAGCATATATACAAGTAGCCAATAAGCATGTGATAAGAGGCTCAACATTACTGATCATCAGGGAAATCAAAATCACAGTGAGATAGCACCTCATATCTGTTAGGATGACAACTGTCAAAAAAAAAAAAAAGAAAGAAAGTAAGTGTTGGTGAGAATATGAAGACACTGAAACCCTTGTGCACTATTGGTATGACTGTAAAATGGTATTGTTACTATGGTAAACAGTATGGAGGCTCCTTAATATACTAAAAACGGAACAACTATCTGATCCAGCAATCCTATTTCTAGGTATATATCCAAAATAACTGAAAACAGGATCTTGAAGAGATACTTCATACCCATGTTCACTGCAACATTATTCACAATAGCCAAGATGTAGAAATAATCTAAATGTCTGATGGATGGATAAAGAAAATGTGATATGCACATACAGTGAAGTGTTAGCCTTAGAAAACAAGGGAATTCTGCCATATGCTATAATGTGGATGAACTCTGAGGAGACTGTTAAGAAAAAATAGCCAATCACAGGAAAGCAAACACTGCATGATTCTACTTAAATAAAGGATCTACTTATAAGGTCCTTTAAATAAAGGATCTACTTACATAAAGGATTATTTTAAATAAAACTCATAGAAACAGGAAGTAGAACGTTGTTTGCCTGCGTTAGGAGGAAGGAGCAACAGGGAGCTTTGTTCAATGGCCAATACACTGCACTAGAACAGGTGAACAAACTAATCCATTTCAGATACCTCAACACAAGAAACAAGAGGACAAACAAGACTCCAAAACTGAACAAAGTTTACTTTAGCCATCACTGCCAGTGAACAGAGATGACTACTTGATGAGAAACTCTAGCAAAATAATGGACACAGATGAATTATAAAGAATTAAACAAATTAACAACAGAAATAAAAACCCTACACATAGGTCCACACATTAAAAGACTATGGACTTTAGATTGGCCAGATGAAAATACTTTTTATTAAATTATTTTAGCCTTTATAAAGTATACCCCATATGCACCTGAATTTGTACTCAAAAATTTTCATTTCAAAAATGGTTATTATTGTTGTTTTTTGCTTTACTACCACTTTTACTAGGCAAACACAAGCAAAATTTTTAAGATTATCTTAGCAGCAGCTGAAAAAGATGTTAAAAGTAGAAAAATACTTCTTGAGGACTAAAAATGACAGAGAAAAAGCAGTAAGGAAGGGCTTTGCTTTAGGCTCAAACTGTTATTATTTGAAACATTTTGGTTAAGGACTGGAAAAATTAAAGAAAATATACAAAGATGAGACAGCAGAAGAGTTTTTCGGCTTCTTTCTAAAAAAAAAAAAATTCAGACATACCAATATTCTAACAGGGGAAAAAAAACAGTGCACAGCATGAAACACAAATCCTTTTAAAATCACGTGTGATCCTGTCTCTCCCATTATGATCCCAATTAGGAAGAGCTGAAAGCATTCATATACACAGCCTAAGAAAGGTATATGACTATTTAGATCTAGAAACAACTAAAGGTCAAGCAAGGATAATATGAAATCAATTTCATTAATTTTTTTCTCATGGAGGATTAAGGCACATAACTTATAAGGTCCTGAGAAATACATAGTCATATCCAAGAAGCAACAGGAAGGTGTGTAAGTTAAATAAGAAGTTTAATAAGACAATAAGCAGATTACTTGAATCAAGATTCTTTAAATCAAATTTTAATATTAGCAAATTATACAGTCAGGAAAGACTAGAGTTTACTCATTAATTCATGATACTCAAATAACACTGAAAAAAATCAAGTTCCATTAAAAAAAATGGGACTTGGGAAATATTTCATATCAAAATATACAAAGTTGATATAAGTCTACAAAGCTGATTAACCAGACTCCTTCAGTCAAGCAGCTAAAGGGACAAAGAGAGCTTAGACATGAATAAGCACCCTTAACCTATTCATTAAAAACACTGAGCATTATCTCTAATGAAAGAAACACAAATTAAGGCGATTATGACTGTATTACTACCACAAAGACATCAATTACTAGAAATTATTCTATCCAATACAGAAACAAGCTGTGGAGAACAGATACCCTCAAGTGCTTTAGGTCACATACAATCTTTTGGCAATGATACACAGGACCTAGCAGACTGCTTATACCTTCCGACTCAGTAACTATGGGCTTGGAGTGTTTATCTAAGCATGTATCCCAAAGGAAAAAAGTTTATCACATTAATTTTAGCAAAAACAATGAAAACAGTTCAAATATGCAACAAGCAAGAAAACAGTTAAACTTTGATACATAAAGAGAAGGAGGTCATTCTCATGATAAAGCAAAGAGTACAAACTATAAATGTTTAAGTTAACAATAAAAAAGAATGCAATATGACATGAAAACATTACTGTATAAAAATTTGTTTACCTACTGTAGACTGCTGTTTTGAAAATGGCTGTTTTTAAAAGTTCATAGATTTTAAATTGCAAAGTTGACAATAAAGTTCCTATGAAAATAAAAGTGAAGGCTAATACAATTTTTAACATCATTGTTATTTCTAAGGGAATTTCTTAAGATTTTGTATAAGAAATCTTTTATTTAAATTGGTATCAGGTTTCTCTGGAAAGTCAGCTCTGGGAATTGTGAAGCAGAACAGCCTTTGTATAGTGATATCTGCAATATTATGGTAGCATTTCCAATGTAGACTCCTGGTTCCATGGCTGGAAAACAGTTTTGATAAGCTGAAACAGGAGGTTCCAGACTATACTCAAATACATCAAACTGAACTTCTGATGAGCAAATGTTTTCGTAATAATAATTTGGAATTTTAATTCTACTCAGAGAATTCTAATACTTTAATCCTTCACATTTTAATGTTAAGGATAAAAGAGTTAAATACTTGACTATTATTGCAAATGAATCATCATTAAGACATCAAGTACATCTTATCAACTGTACATAGAAATTTTAACATCTATTCCCCTTAAATAATTTTTGTTGGTCTTTTTGCTCTGCTGATTAGCTGAACTGATGCCTCAACTCTGGAGATTTTTTTATTAAGTGACATGCATATAAACTTGACTCCAGTGATAAAAATAGGTCACAGAGCAGGATTAAGAGAAGTTTTTGTAGCTGAACTGATGCCTCAACTCTGGAGATTTTTTTATTAAGTGACATGCATATAAACTTGACTACAGTGATAAAAATAGGTCACAGAGCAGGATTAAGAGAAGTTTTTGTCCCTATAAAATTTTAGAACTGATGAGTGTCCACAATTTTAACTATTTCACTTAATTTTGTATTATAATGTTTGAAAGTAAGTTTAGAAGAGCAGTAATATGAAAAGTGGGCTTTTTTACAGCATTGATTTATCCATTAAAACATTATTAACATGTCATTTGACCCCCAAAGGAAAAAAAAAGAAACAGAAAAAAATTATAGGAACTGATCACATTTAAACAAATAATTCAGTAAAAAACATCTGATGACTGATTCACTGATATAAAGCATTTAACTTCCCAGTGGAAGTCACCATCCCTGAACTTCCATCCAGACATACTGCATCTTTCAGTGAAAAGCACTGTGGTAATAAAGTCACAAAGCCCAGACTAACCTGAGAGCTCTGTACACAGGGATGGCTCACTATAAGGCGGCCTCCTAACCAGCATGGAGTCCGTGCCAGAAAGCCCCATTGCTACACTAAAAAAGTACAGTGTACATGAGGTTAATTCTCTGCATTTCCTACCCTATCTACTAAGGCAAATAAATGAAGACAAAAAGTACTAGAGAACAACACACACTGAATCTCTGAAATTACTTTAGTACAGGTGAAAATATTCTTAAAAACAGATGGGCAAAATACTTAATAAGTTATTCAGATTACAGCACCAGAAGGAAAAGATGTTAGACCTTTATGGTTACATGAGCCTCTGACATCAGTGGGTGCAATATACTTAATACTTTTATCCTAGCATCTATTATTATAAATATCTCACATATGTGGAATGTATATAGGCAACAAAACAGTGTGGTAAGAAATGAAATACTTGTTTCCAACATGTTCTAGTTATTAAATATATCAAATTTTTTGTACTGACGTTGAGAGGGTTCTACTGAATTTTTTACCATCAGATACAGTCGTGGAGTATTCACTGGATTCAAATTTCACTATCTTCTTTCATCCTTGAAATATTTGTACTTCGTAAATACAAGGTTTCTATATTGGACCAAGCAATTTCTGACAGAGGCTAGGTTTTCCTTCTTCTTCAACTAAGTCAATCTTATCCCTATTTTGATGTTGTTTGAATACTTCATTGCAGGATGAAGAAGAAATAAGAGTCTCTAGAGAAACCCACTGCACAACTTTTGAGTAGTGAAAGCATTATGTGACCTTCTGTAGTTTGAACAAAAGACAGATGAGATGACCTGGCAATTTTCCTTAAAAAACACAGGTCAGTTTCTCAAATATTTTAATTGTCAAATTTTAAACATAGAGTGGAAAAAATTACTTACTTCTAAGCTGCCTCTCTTAATTGGATTCAGCACTAATAATTTCTTCAAAAGGTTTTCACAGTCTGTGGACATATAGAAGGGAATACGATACTTCCCTCGTAAGACCCGCTCCCGCAGTTCCTTAAAAGCAAAAGAAAGCATTTATTGCTGGCTGATGAAGTCATCGTGATTGGGGATAGAACATTAATAGCGAGTTTAGCCAATACCTTTAAGTTCTGGCCATCAAAAGGCAAGGAGCCACTGACTAGCGTGTAGAGAATGACGCCAAGGCTCCACACGTCTACCTCGGGCCCGTCATACTTCTTCCCTTGGAAAAGCTCAGGAGCAGCGTAAGGCGGGCTTCCACAAAATGTGTCCAGCTTGCTCCCGACCGTAAACTCATTACTAAACCCAAAGTCAGCAATTTTGATATTCATGTCAGCATCAAGGAGAAGGTTTTCAGCCTAAGAAGAAAATAATAAAAAGGACAATGTAAAGAGCCTACACAAAATAAAATGTTCATTATAATTGCTCAGATCTTAAACATGTATTCTTGTCTCTCTTTTTAAGATTATGTGAATTTTTTATTACTTAAAAACTTTTTCCAAGCTTCACTGAGGTATGACTGACAAAAATTGAATATATTTAGGCTTTACAGCATTACTTTTTAAAAGGGTATACAAAGTGGTAATTTAATAAACCTATACATTGTGAAATGATGACCATAATCTAGTTAACTAACACATCTATTACCACACAGTTACTTTTTTAAAGTTTGTCATTAATTCTTACTGGAGTTTAGTTGCTTTACAGTCCTGTGTCAGCGTCTGCTGTAGTGCAAAGTGACTCGTTCACACGCATACACCTGTCTGCCCTTTCCCGGATTTCCACCCCAGCCAGGCCCCACACAGCGCCCAGGAGGCGTCTCTGTGCGGCGCCGGAGGCTCTCTTTAGTCACCTATTCTACACGCAGTAGTGTATACACGTCGGTCTCAGTCTCCCATTTCCTGTCTTTCGTTTTTAAATATAATGTCCAACTGAGAAGCCGAGCAGAGTACTCCAACATCTGATTGTTCAGAATTACATCTATATATGACTGAATTTTAACACTATCACTTCATGGCAAACAGATGGTGTATAAAAATGGAAACCACAACAGACTTTATTTTCTTGGACTGCAAAACCACTGCAGACGGTGACTGCAGCCATGAAAGTAAAAGATGCCTGGAAAAAAAGCTATGACAAACCCAGAAAGCGTATTAAAAAGCAAAGACATCACTTTGCCAACAAAGGTCCATATAGTCAAAGCTATGTTTTTTCCAGTAATCATGGACAGATGTGAGAGTTGGACCAGAGAGAAGGCTGAGTGCTGAAGAACTGATGCTTTCAAACTGTGGTGCTGGAGAAGACTTTTCAGAGTCCCTTGGACTGTAAGGAGGTCAAACCAGTCAATTCTAAAGGAAATCAACCCTGAATATTCACTGGAAGGACTGATGCTAAAGCTGAAACTCCAATACTTGGGCCACCTGATGCAAAGAACTGATTCACTGGAAAAGACCCTGATGCTAGGAAAGACTAAAAACAGGAGGAGAAGGGGACGACAGAGGATGAGATGGTTGAATAGCATCGCTGACTTGATGGTCATGAGTTTGAGTAAGCTCCAGAAGTTGGTGATGGACAGGAAGCCTGGCATGCTGCAGTCCATGGGGTCGCAAAGAGTCAGACACGACTGAACAACTGAACAACGACAAAGACTGAATTTTAACACTATACAGGAAGGTTTCATTTATATACATATATGTAACTCTTTGGGCTTCCCAGGTGGTGCTAGTTGTAAAGAACCCACTTGCCAATGCAGGAGATGTAAGAGATGCAGGTTCAATCCCTGGGTTGGGAAGATCCCCTGGAGGAAGGCATGGCAACCCACTCCAGTATCCTTGCCTGGTGAATCCCATGGACGGAGAAGCCTGGCAGGCTACAGTCCACAGGGTTGCAAAGAGTTGGACATGACTGAAGCAACTCAGTATGCACACATGTGTGTAACTGTTTAAGAAAGGTTATTTAAAAACTGTTTTCTCCCAGAGATCATTTTAAGCCTAATTTTCTTCCTTATGGTAAGAAACATCCTGGAATTGTACCTTAATATGACCTATTCTAAAGAAGATAAGTCAACAAAACACTAATACGCTATGGGGTTAAACCAACCAATTTACCCAAATATGCTCTGTTTGAATAGAGCATCCCTGGTTAAAGCAAGTCAGGGGTTCCATGACTAATGAATTTATTCCTTGCACTCTCTTGCAAAATGCATCCTCAACAAAGTTCTATCCTTCCAGTAAAAGAAAGCAATACATTAGTCTCCATTAGGTCTTACCTGTTTTAAGCCTCTTTTTAATTTTCTAAAACTAGATTCTTTTACTGGAGGTTTATTACGGTAGAAAGAAGAGATTTCTCCCTATGTTTTGAAAAACAGGTTTTCTAAAATATTCCTGAATCAGAACCATTTAATGAAAAACATTTAAATGTACCTTTTACACATGCAAGTAATTTAATAAAGGACTTGCTTTTGTACACGTTTTGTTTCATTCTATGCTAAACTGACAGACTAACAAAGTTATCACTTAGTTTGTAGATGTGTTTTATCAGGTTACAAAATGGAGTAAAATTTGACTGAAACAAATCCAGAGTTCTCTACATCACTTAAGGGTCCAACAGTCAGCAGAGCTCAGCAGTCAGCCCATCATATATCTTCCTTCCCTTACCTCCTTCTTTTCTTAAGAAATACTAGTTTGGGATATTTGTTTTCATCCTGTTTTAGAAAATAAAGATACAGATAATTCCCAAAATATGCAAAAAATGTGGTACACAGATTTGGAAGATTTATATTAGATCAAAATGTTATGGACTGTGTGACAAAACCAGGTTACTTTGATGTTCTGATGTAAGGGTCTGGTGATTGTAAATTTCTGTGGCATCCTGGGAGCAAGCTAGACTTAGCTCAGTCTCTCTAAAGATGTCTGGATAAGACAGCAAAGTACCCAAGGCTGCCCCAGAAGAGGAGAGCTGGAGAGGGTTTTGAGGTTTCCTCCCAAGTGCACACAGGAAACTCCCTCCACAGGACTAGAGGAGAATCACAAGGTGATGAATTTTTTTTTTTTTTGGCAGATATATTCCATTTAAGAAATGAGACAACAAGCTAGGAGTCAAACACACAAGCAGGGAAATAAATAGCTCTCTTCTTTCTCTTTCTTTGCAGCAGTGATTTCCCTTTAAAAGGCTGAGGGAGGAAACTGAGAAATAGAAATATTTGAAGCAGGAGAAACTCTATAACCTCAGAAAAATGGAGCAAAATACAGTGCTAGACTTCAAACAACTATTTAGGACAGTATATTCAAATATAACACAAATTACTGTGAGTAACTGACATAGGCAACGGGAAAAGAAGTTTAAAAAAAAGGGAACATGCAAATTAAATTTGGAAAAAAAGAGAAAAGGGGGGAAAAAAAACTTTTTTTAGACGAGGAACTTTTTACTTTTAAAAGAAAAAATCAATTTGGCCTCAACCATTTCTTTCTTTTTTTAAAATTATTTTTAATAAAAAAACATAATTTAAGAGAAGTATCAATAACCTCAGATATGCAGATGACACCAGCCTTATGGCAGAAAGTGAAGAAGAGCTAAAGAGCCTCTTGATGAAAGTGAAAGAGGAGAGTGAAAAAGTTGGCTTAAAGCTCAACATTCAGAAAACTAAGATCATGGCATCTGGTCCCATCACTTCATGGCAAATAGATGGGGAAAAAGTGGAAATAGTGGCTGACTTTATTTTTCTGGGCTCCAAAATCACTGCATATATTGACTGCAGCCATGAAATTAAAAGACGCTTACTCCTTGGAAGGAAAGTTATGACCAATCTAGACAGCATATTAAAAAGCAGAGACATTACTTTGCCAACACAGGTCCGTCTAGTCAAGGCTATGGTTTTTCCAGCGGTCACATATGGATGTAAGTTGGACTATAAAGAAAGCTGAGTGCTGAAGAATTGATGCTTTTGAACTGTGGTGCTGGAGAAAACTCTAGAGAGTCCCCTGGACTGCAAGGAGATCTAACCAGTCCATCCTAAAGAAGATCAGTCCTGGGTGTTCACTGGAGGGAGTGATGCTGAAGTTAAAACTCCAATACTTTGACCACCTGATGCGAAAAGCTGACTCATTTGAAAAGACCCTGATGCTGGGAAAGATTGAGGGAAGGAGAAGGGGATGACAGAGGATGAGATGGTTGGATGGCATCACCGACTCAATGGACATGGGTTTGGGTGGACTCCGGGAGTTGGTGATGGACAGGGAGGCCTGGTGTGCTGCGGTTCATGAGGTAGCAGAGAGTCGGACACGACCGAGTGACTGAACTGAACATGATAATTTGATAGACATACACGTAGTGAAATGATTACTAAAGTTAATTAACATATTTCCTCACAGTTACCTTTTTTTTGGGTATTTATGATGGGAACACCTGAAATCTACTCTCTAAGCAAACTTCCAGTACTTAATACAGTATTACTAACTTTTGGGGGGTGGGGCCATACCGCACAGCATGTGAGATCTTAGTTCCCTGACTAGGGATCCAACCTGTGCCCCTTGCATTGGAACCTTGTAGTTTTAACCACTGGACCACCAGGGAAGTTACCAATTATTAACTTTTTGGATTATATATCAAAAGCTCAGGCAACCAAAGCAAACATAAACAAGTGAGACTATATCAAACTAAAAAGCTTCTGCACAGCAAAGGAAACCATCAACAAAATGAAAAGAAAACACAGAATAAGAGAAAATATTTGCAAACCACATATCCGAAAGGGGTTAATACTTAAAATATGTAAGAAACTCATGTGACTCAATAATCAAAAAACCAAAAACCAGATTAAAAAATTGGCAAAACATCTACATAGACATTTTACCAAAGAAGACATACAGTCAACAGGTATATGAAAAGTTGCTCAACATCACTAATCATCAGAGAAATGTAAATCAAAACCACAATGAGGTATTATCTCACAACTGGATAGCTATATGAAGAAAATAAAAGATAAGTGTCACCAATAATGTGAGGAGCTAGAACACTGTGTTCTGTTGGGAAGGCTGTAAATCGGCACAGCAATTCTACAAAACAGTATAGAAGCTCTTCGAAAGCTAAAACTAGAACTACCACATGATCCAGCCATCTGTCTTCTCGGTCTACCTAAAGAAAATGAAATCAGTTCCTCCAAGAGGTATCTGCCCTCCCATGTTCATTGCCACCATTATTTCTTGACTATCACACATATCTTAGTCTAAAGTATGCCAGTTTATACTAATCACATGCATTTGATATTCATAGTAGTAATAGTGTTAGTTGCTCAGTCGTGTCTGACTCTTTTGAGACCTCATGCACTATAGTCTGCCAAGGTCCTCTGTCCATGGGATTCTGGACAAGAATACTGGAGCAGGTAGTCATTGCCTTCTCCAGGGAATCTTCCCAAATCAGGGATCAAACCCAGGCCCTCCTGCATTGCAGGCGTATTATTTACCAACTAAGCCACCAGGGATTCATAAAAACATTTAAAATTTTCCTAATATTTCTCTGAATTTCAATGTAAGGATGAGCACTGGCTCTTACATCAGACAAAGCTGGATTTGTACCCTGACCTTACTTCTGATGGAATGGGGCCTCAGGCATTCTTAATTAGGGACAAAGTTTCACATTTATGTATTAAGAGAAGCTAATTAACAGAATCAAATCCTCTCAACCTTTAATGCTAGACAACCTCTCATCCACATTTTCTTCATTTGCTCAGTGAAAATACTGCCTTTTAAGAAAATATTCCTATGATTTATGTCATAGTATTTTGCCTCAGTTCTCTTCGAGGAGTTTTATGGTATCATGCCTGTATTTAGATCTTCAAACCATGTGGAGTTTGTTTTTGTATATGGTGTGAGAGAGTGGTCTAATTTCATTGACTTAAATGTAGCTGTCAAGCTTTCCCAACACCACTTGATGAAGAGACTGTCTTTTCTCCACTGTATACTCTTGCCTCCTTTGTCTTTGCCATAGATTAATTGATTACAGGGGTATGGGTTTATTTCTGGGCTCTTGGTTCTGTTCCACTGATCTATGTGTCTGCTTTTATGCCAATACCAAGCTGTTTTGATTACTGTAACTTTGTGGTTATCATCTGAAGTCTGGGAGGGCTGTGCCTCCAGCTTTGTTCTTTATTCTCAAGATTGCTTTGGCAATTTTAGGTCTTCTGTGGTACCATATAAATTTGAGGATTATTTGTTCTAGTTCTGTGAAAACTGTCATGGAAGTTTTCCTAGGAATTACGTTACATTTGTAGATTGCTTTGGGGAGTGTGGCATTTTACCAATATTAGTTCTTCCAATCCAAGAGTATGGGGTATCTTTCCATTTCTTTGGATCATCTTCAATTTCCTTCATCAATATTTTACAGTTTTCAGTGTTGTAGGTGCATATAGGTCTTTTACCTCCTTAGTTAAGTTTATTCCCTCAGGCAAAAGATATAAAAGCAAAAATAAATAAAAGAGACCTTATCAAACTTCAAAGCTTTTGCACAGCAAAGGAAACCATGAAGAAAACGAAAAGAGAATCAAGGAATGGGAGAAACTATTTGCAAATTTTTAAACTTTTTATTAACAAGGGGTTAATACTCAAAATATATCAACAGCTCATAAACTCAATAATACAAAAAACCAACAGGTCAATCAAAAAATGGACAGACAACCTAAACAGTCACTTCTCCAAAGACATACACAATGGCCAACAGGCACATGAAAAGATGCTCAACACTGCTAATTATTAGAAAAATGTATATAAATATAGCAAAAGCACAATGAGGTTATTACTTCACCATGGGCAGAATGGCTATTATCAAAAAGTCTACAATTAATAAATGCTTAAAAGGGTGAAGAAAAGAGAACCCTCCTACACTGTTGGTGGGAATGTAAATTGGTGCACCGGCTATGGAGAAGAGTAAGGAGGTTCCTTAAAAAACTAAAAAATAGAGCTACCACATTACCCAGCAATCCCACTCTTGGGCATATATCCAGAAAACACAAGAACTCAATTTGAAAAGATACACGCACACCAATGTTCATAACAGCACTATTTACAACAGCCAAGATACAGAAACAATTCATGTGCCTATCAACAGATAACTGGCTTAAGAAGATGCAGGGGTGTCTATGTGTGTACATGCACAATGGAATATTACTTCACCATAAAAAGGATCAAAATAATGCCATTTGCAGCAATATGGACGGACTAGAGAATATCATACTAACTGAAAAAAGTCAGACAAAGAAACCCAAATATTATATAATATCATTTATACGTGGAATCTAAAAATAATACAAATGAATCTATATACAAAATAGAAACAGACTCATAGACACAGAAAACAAACGAATGGTTACCAAAGGGAAGAGGAAGAGGGGAGGGATAAATTAGGAGTATGGGATTACCAGGTACAAAATACCATAGATAAAACAGATAAGCAAAAAGGATTTCCTGTATAGCATAGGTAACTACATTCAATGTCTTGTAATAACCTATAATGGGAAAGAACCTGAAAAAAAAATATATATAATATATAACTGAATCACTGTACACCTCAAACATGATACTGTAAACCAACTATACTTCAATTTTAAAAAAAGAAAATGCTGCCTTTTATAAAAAGCTGCTGTAAAAATTAAATAAAAACTAATTTTCTTCTATAATGTCTGGCACAATCATGCAATCAAAAAAATAGCTCTGACAGTATCAAATATCTGTTAATAATAATAAATTTTTGTTATAAAACCAGTTGCTTACCTTAAGATCACGGTGAACAATGCACTTTTGATGACAATACTGTACAGCAGATACAATCTGAAATAAATATTTGGATAAAAGATTCAAAATTATTATAGTAAAAGCATCCATTTTTCCCAATTATTATTCCAATTAGAGAACTTACTAGCTTGGATTTCAAAGTTACATTTAGTAATTTTACTGCTCCTTTAGTTCAGAAAACCATATGTACTAAAGTGATTAAATTTTCACTTTTAAATTCAGACGATGTAGAAAAGTAGTGTTCTCTTGCTAAAATGTACTAAATATTTATCAGAGTGCCTGAAGATTTTTCCTATAGGTTGTTATATTTCTTTGTTTACACAATCAAATGTATACTTCATAGTTTTGGGTCAAATGATTTATTCCACTGTTGGAATAAGAATTTTGGCACACATGAATCAGCATTTCAAGATAGTTGGCTCAAGTTCAAAATGCAAAACTCTATTTTAGGAATTACATTAAATGTGCTCAAGGCATGTTTCTCAGGGAGGTCAACTGACTTAAGAATTTATCAACAGGACATTTAGCAATACTGTATGTTTGTCTGTTCATATATTACAAAGCAAAGGGAAAATTTTTGAGCCTTAAAAGGAAACCTAAGTTTCAAAACAAGAGGTATAAAAATGAAATTTAATTTTTAACCTGTCACTAATTCAGCTGGGCAAAGTATTCTACCCTTGTAACCAGATTCTGTATGCAGTCTTAATTTCTATTACCTAGGGCTCTTTGGAGATAACTGCTAACCAGGAAAGAACCCAATGGCTTAAGGGCCAAAGATACAAGTGAGAAATAGGTTATAAGCAATTCTATGATAGTTATATACTTTTATTACATAAAAAAAAGAAATGGAAACTATCTGATAGCAATCAGGTAAGAGCTACTTTATACATATATGTATGGCCATTTTAGCGCAGCAGAACATTCAGGTCTGTGGAGTCAGTTAAATGTAAACACGGTCTGAATGTTGAGCATTGGTTAGGCATTTACAAATGGGAACAGAAATGAGATTTTTAAAGTCTAAGGGTGATGTGAAGTATGACCACACTAATAGGATATTGGTTAGGAAAAAAAAAAAAAACTTTGAAGTAGTACAAGTGAAGCTGATATTTCAGTATTATAAAATTATTCTAATGTATATTAAAATGGTTCAAAGACAGAGAAGACATGAATTCAAAACAAAATCAACATACAATGAGTAAGATGTAATTCTATTAAACTCAGTTTGATCCAACAGTTTATTGAGTACCTGCTATGTGCAAGAAAACGTGCTAGTTGCAAGGGGAACACAAAAATGAACATTACATGTGCACCCTGCCCTTAATAAGGAGCTTACCGTATGATTGGGAGGAAAAGTATGTGTATGAGTAACTATATATGTAACAAGGCAGAATCATAGAAGCAGGGGTACAAAGAAGCGAGGCAATCATAAAAATAAGAACAATTTCCAGCTGGTTGGTGATACTGACATTTGATCTAAGCCAACATGAAGGACAAATATTTTAAAATGTGGAGGCTTGGGGATGGGGATGTAGGGGGTAAGGGGGTAAAATGCCTACTGTGGAGGCAACACAATGTATCTGAAAAGTAGGTTGGAAGATGGTAATACTGGGAGTTAAACCTGGATAGACAAGTTGGTAAAAGTCTCTGAATTCCAAACTAAGCAGGTCCTACAGAACCATGAAATATTTTTGAGTAGAACAACTGTGAATGATTATAATCAATTTGAAGTGTGAATCCCCCAAATACAGCAGAACCCTACAAGTAATATATAGCATTCATTTTCTTAAGCAATATGCTTCAAATTGTAATATCCAATTTTCACCAAAATATGTTCATTAGTTAAGATATACATTTATATGTAAATATTAATTCAACTTACTGAATATATTATATAGGCGATAGGACGTTCATACTATAAGGCTATTTTTATATCACAGATGACAGAACTGTGCTGATAGCAGTATGTTTTTCAAGTCACCTTCTCTTGATACAGCAAAGAAGGCATGCTACAGACAATGATTTGGTTACCAAACATGAACTTCACCTTAGGATAGTTTCTATGAAAGCAGTTCTATAGGCACTTCTGGAATAACAATCTCCTGCGTCTTAAAGACTTAAGAAGGGAAAGATAATTTATAATACCACCACACTGATCTAGTAGGATACAATTTCTACAATGAAAGCAGCTCTGGCTTCTGACTCACTCACATTAAGAATCCCCATCCACAAATCCAAGTTTTACTGCATTAATCTATGGCCAGACCCTCCCATCTCAAAACCTTCTGTACCTCCACAAATGCAATGTAAGAACTTCTTTATGATCCTTTTGTTACAAATCTCAAAAACATGACTGAGAATCAGTCCTGTACTGACCCTAAAACAAAACATGTCAACCTTTTGCCATGAGGTGCAATTGTGGGGTTTGCTTTGCAATTATTTATAAGTGGGTCAGGAATTCCCAAGCTTCAAGTCGTAGCTTTGATATTGGGAAGGCTAAATCAACATTGTGATTTTCTTGTAGGCCTTCAACTCTTAAGGGAATGCAGAGGTACTGTAGGAGCAATAGCTGCTAAACTGGTCCTAAACTGTCATGGTATTTTTGTTATACTTCATGGTAGAGTCAAGGACATACATGTACAGGGTGTGTATGTACCCTTACTAATATATTATGTTGCCCTTCACTGTTAAACTCTTAAAAGTAATTGCACGAAATACAGAGCAAATAAAAATAAAATAAATATACATTAACTAGAGTTTTAATTAAACCTATAAAGAAAAATAAACTTGGCAAAAATAAATATAAAAACAAAACCAACTTTTTGACAAATAACTACAAAATTGTGTGTGTGTTTTCATTGTTTTTAAAAATGTGAGTTGGTTACCTATTTAATTTTGGGGGAACACATATAGATAGTAAAATACCTTTAATATTTATAACAGAGAATTATTTTTTAAACTTCCATTGTTTTACATTTTAAATAGAATTCATTTCATATTCAACCTCTGATCTCATTTCAAAGTAATCCAGATTTCATTAAAAAAAAAAAGAGCCACTTAATAATTACTTGGATCTTTGTGAAAATATCTGTGTCCCAGCCTCCTATCCTGCTTACACCTGTCAGTAAAGATGAGTAAGCTCTTTAAAACAGCAGGCATTTTCACCTTCTCTAATTCCATATAGTACCTAGTAAAATTTTCGACCACAGTTGTTTTTAATAATAAATAAATAAAATCAACCAACTAAAAAGAAGAGTAAGCAGTGACAGTCATTCAAATACCGATTTAGATTTCAATGGAAATATCTAATATCAATTGGAATTTTCTTCCTAGTTGGCTACTAAAGCTAGAGTGACTGACATGGAGAGAACAATGACATTTGAAGTGATGATTGTGGTTCTTTACTTAAGTAAACCTGGACTTGCAACCCAGCATAGAAAAGAATTTAACAGTATGTGGCTGATCGCTGTTCAGCTTCTCAATGTTGCTTCCTCATTACCAGCTGTCTTTAGATTCAGCTATTTTAAGTCAAATGCTTCTAAGATCCATTTCAAATATAATGAATGGCTGTATATATCTTTGGTCTAAAGCATTTTATATATTGTGTTCCAAAAAGTAATGATTCTGTCAGATATTAATAATAGATGTTTCCCAAAATAAACTCACTCCATGATCAATTCAGAGTGCACTGTGTCAAAAAAATAGTCAAAAAGGTATTTTCCTCCCATCTTCTTCAGGACTTCTATAATTGTTTACATGTTAACATATATGCAAAAATCTCACAGTGGAACATTTCATATTAGTATGACCCAATCTTACTGATTACAGGATCACTTTAATTGCAGAATCACGCTTACAGAAGAGATACTGAACTACTTTTAAATGAGTATTTTAAATTCACTAAGGCAAAGTTTGGCATACAGTAAGTTATCTGTTCAAACTTTACTTCAGTAAATTTTATGAACAATTTACAATTTATTAATCTGACATTGCTACAGTAATTTTTAAAGTGTACTAATTTTAATTACTTCATTCCTAAAAATTAGAAACAAAAGCTTAGATGAACTTAAATTGCTTTTTCTTATTTTATTATTTATGTAACAAATCATAATCAAGTCGACCTGGAAATACCAATATCTTACCATATTCTTCACACTGGCAAGGTTCCTTCCCTACTCGACTAAATAAAATTGATCATAGTCTTTAAACCTACAAAAATAGGAGTTCCAAAAGCAAGATATCTTTAATTACTTAAAAAAATACAAAAACCTTTTTAAACAGTACACAGTTATGTTGTACACATAAAGCTAATAATACTTAATAATAATTCCTGGATAAATATTTAAAGTATTTATTTTCTATCTCACTCTAGGTCTCTACTTCCAAGACTATCAAAGAGTTATTAATAAGAGTCTCAACTATAAACATTTTACTATTTATGATGATCTAAAAATAACCAATTATAACTACTTTACAAATTTCTTTTTCAGTTTTTCATCTTAAAAAAGAAAGTATGAATTTTTCTTTTTAAAGTACCATGTACTCTGAATTCTGGTTTGTGATACTGTCCATTGTACATCACTAAAAATATCAGCAAAACAAAGTTGAAAACTACTTTCCATACCTGCCTAAATTTTGCACGGGCCTCTTTTTCTTTCATTCTTCCATGGGCAACTAAGTAATCAAATACTTCACCTGAATCAGAAAGGTAAAGCAGGCAGTAAAATATACATAGATTTTCAGTTAACAATATATGCAATGTCAAGTTTTTGCCTTGTTTTTTAAGAAGCTTTTGGCCCACACTTTTCTGATAGTTCTATATAAATTAAAACTATTACATGATAGAAAAAAAGGGAAAAAGACATATAAAACCGAATACTGGTAGCAGCTTATGAATCAGCAAAACTCCTTTAATAAAAAATCATAAAAACATTAAGAAAACGTTCTTTCTTCTTTCCAGTACTATGTGAAAATACAGTCAACTCTTTATTATCCATTCAAATAAAGGGAAGCCACAGCATGGGCAACCAAATGTTACATTTGGCTCTGTATTTGGGGCTTTACATTTCAAAAGCCATATTATGTTGGCTCACTCTCTTAAAGTCTACTGATCATATAATCTTGGGTCAAATTCCATCTATCTCCATCCACACTGATTTCATTCTTATCCTTCATATTTTGATCATGTGCATTCTCATGATACTCATTTCACCTGCACTGGTACTTAACTACTTACTATACAGAATGAAACCACCCTGTGTGCATCTCCTGTTACCCTAGAGGAGCTGCAACCTTCTTGAATGCTGTCATCACACCCATACTTTACCTGCATGACCATCCCCATGACAGGACACAACGTGGATAGACAATACAAATTTGTTGAAATAATTTAAAGATACTAGAAACTTAAAAATTTTCTAATAGATCCTTTACATGTAAGTTTTTTTTCATTTTTCTCTAATTAATAATAATAAACCTAATGTTCAGTTACATTATGAAAGATAAAATACTTCAGTGTAAGGGATTAAAATTTTATATCCTTATAATTGGCACCATATAGACAAACATGTATATTAAAAACTCACCAAGTGGCTTAAAGAGTTCTTATAAAGTACAGCAAAGTGGTTAAAAACTCAGGTTTTAGAATCAGACTAATTTTGGTATGAATCCTGATTTAGCCCTTAGTTGCTACGGGGAGATATTAGGAAGATTTCTTAACTATGTTAAGAACCCTTTTCTCCCTATTGCCTATCTCACATGGCTGTTGTGAGGATTAATGAAATAAAGCACGTGCTTAGCACAGTGACTGGCATATAGTAAGCACTCAATAAATTATATATTTGTATCTAGGTATACAGATATATTACATATACATATATGCAATATCAATCCTAGGACATAAGTAAAATGTTAAAAATCAAAATGCAATGATGTATGTATGTCAGATGAAACTAATACATCTACAATGTTAGCAGATTATATAAGGCATACTTAAATGATTAAATGGGATGATAAAAACAGAGAAATGAATAGATGTTCTAGCTGACCCATCACAGCAGTTAACTCTAGATATGCGAATTTAGGCTGAGAAAGATATAATATATACGGCAGGGGTTCAAAAACCTGGACTGCCCTTAAGTTCTGCCTGGAACGTTCACACCCCAGATGTTTACATGACCTGGTCCTTTACTGATTATATATTACTTGTTTATGATACGCTTCCCCAACTAGAATGTCATCTTTTTGATGGCAATGACCTTATATCTGTTCATCCATGTGTTGCTCGCACCTCGAATACCACCTAGTATGTAGTAAACATTTAATAAATAATGTTTGCATGAACAACAGGAGATATACACACACCATTGTGGATTAGCCCTGATGCCTACTTCTAATAGGTTCCCTTGAACAAAACATGGTTCATATAGGAGTTGCCTGCCCTTCTAATCACTGAAGATCTTTTGCCCCAGGAATGAACCAGAGTCAAGAGATGTACTCCTCAAAGAGGCCGTTTTTCATGCTAAGTTTCCAGTGTGCATGTCCGATTCAATCCTAAAATATCTATAAATTTTAGAGGAAACATATTGTTTTATTTACCAGAGTCATCTTGTCATTTATGGGTTTAAAAGGTAAGAGGTCGATTCTAGATTTACTGCTACAGAACTGCGATGGTTTTGTTACAGGATCACTGACTGGCAAGACTCAAAGGAAACCCATCACCAGGAGTCAGAATTAAGTAAGAGACCACCTGGTTTGGGATGAGCTAAAGTACACACCCCTCTAGCCTACCCTACACCCCACTGCCCCCCGCACCCAGTGCTACTGAAGGAGAGCAGTAAGGCCCCCGGGGGCTATTACTCCAGCCCTTGCTCCCCTTCATCAGCACCAATAGAGTTGACTGTACTTACCATTAACTGCTAAAGCAGCACCACATTAGTACTAACCCAGCCTTGTGGTGGGCCTTCATAAAAACAGAACAATGCCCAGAGATCTGTAGCTGTCTATAAGTTCTCATATCAAAGCCATGTCTAGCCCTTCTCTTGAGACTTTAGATCACTAAAAAAAGTTTAACTGAACTATAAACACAACGGATTTCCATACTGATGAACTGTTCATTTTCCTTTAAACTAAAGAAGAGTTAAGTGAAGAAAGAATTCATTATGTGGTATTTGAAGGTTCATTAATTTTATTACAGACTAACATTTTATGCAAGTTTGCATGACTATTAATATTTTTTAAAATCTTATGATAATAAAAAACATTAATGATTTAGGTTTTGGGGTTATGTAAAAAACTTACATGAAGTATTTTCAGGGTTTTAAAAAAGTGATGCAAAAACCCAAATCTATTAAAATACTAAAAAAACAATTAAAATATTTAATATTTGTAGTAATTTTTTTTAAAAATCTAAGAGACAGTATAAAAATACATGGTCTAGATGTTGTAGAGTAAAATAAATAGTCTTTATTCAAGTTACAGAAAATCAGAACATCATAAAAATCTACAACCTTTTTTAGCTAAAAGGACTCAAAACTAGACTCAACACTAAGTTTTCCTATTGATTAGCAAAAAAAGGTTAATTAGACAAGTTGGTTTAAATAATTTCCAATGCCCTCCTTCTTTAATTGCTTAAATTCTATGAGTCCTTAAAACCTTCAAGATCCTCTTTTTACTTATTAAATTATTTAACTCCATAAATTTTAAACCTCTTTCTGAAAAAGTTAAGGCTTATGCCTAAAAGAATAGTGATTCTATGGCAATGTATCTCTCATTTGAGGAAAGTGCAGGAAATGAAAATGATTTTCTATATCAGTGTTTAAAAATAAATCCTATTTTTGATGCTAGACAGTCAAAATAAACATTGTATTCTACTAGAAGTGTATCTTACCATTTACCTGTCAACTCAGTATTCTAATTTATGAAATATATACATCAATACTTGTTTAAATTGAAACATTTTATAGATTATCTTGAAGATGTATGTATAGTGAGAATCTGTAATACGTGATCAGTGAAACAAAAATGCGACCTAGAACAGGCTTTTACTATAAACATTACTAAAAACATTCTGGGTTTGAGATTTCTTATTTATAGCCAAGAGAAAATAGTATTAGAAGATAATAATAATAATATAATATTAAGATGAGTGGTGAAACATTCATAGATAACAATGCAAATTTAGTTTTGAAAAACGTCCTTAAATAATTTTTAAATAAGCCAAAGTCCTATTTTTAATTGTAGGATCAACAGGTCTTGAAACCAAACACTGAATTTTCCTAAAGACACCATTGAAAGGCATTTTAATAAAACTACAGATTCATTAACAACAATAAAGACACAGATATTATAATGAGTTTTCAGGTATTAATAATTCTACATGTCTCATCAAAGATAACTTTTCATTCCCCTCATCCTTACCCCCACTCGCGTATTCCATGACTAAATAGAGAGTCTTCTCTGTTTCAATAACTTCAAACAATTTTACTGAAAAAAGAAATTAGAGATATAACTCTGTAATTGTGAGCATACTACATATGCTTTAAGAAAATTTAAGGTAACACTAAAACAAAGGAAAAGTTGAGCATTTACTAATAAAAATTACTACTTATAATTTAAAGTTTAAAACTTTTCCCAAGGATTATTACTACCATGGAAGATAACTATTACAAAATGATTTGGAACCAACTGTTGGCTCAAAAGAGAGTTAAGTTTCTAGGATTAAAAACCTTATCCCCTTACAAATTAGAATAATGTAATAAAAAGGAAAATCTTAGAACAACAAAATTTTAGTGAACACTTAGAAAGATACTATTATCATAATGAATCAATCAAAAATGTTAAATAATCTTTGGTACAGAAATAAAAAATTTTATAATTATGTGATATTTTAAGTTTCTGATTAAAATCTACTAAATTATCAGACTTATGTAGTTGACATTATATACCACAGGGAATTACATCTCTAATTTTGTACATCTCTAAAATTGTATCTCTAATATACAAGTTTTTTTAGTGCATAAGAAGCCTATCTCAAGAATAAACAGATTAAATGAAGAATTGCTTTTTACTTCTTACAATCCAATGACTTTGAGTAATATATAAATTAATTTACAAATAAATTTATCTGTAAATATGGGGGGAAAATAGAACTTATGAAAATAAGCTCACTAAAATTGAAATAAAATCTTTATTTCCTTTAAAATTCAAACTAGTTATTTTGCCTATAGACTATGAACAAACCCAAGTCCATATTGCCAAAATATCTGGAATTATTTCTTATCAATACCTAAATGGCATGCAATCTCTATTTAGAAAGATTTAGTAAGGAGATACAAGAAACATCTGTATACAGCAACTCCAAGTCAAATGTATTATTTTAGTGAAGAGTAGAAGATAGCAAGGTAGTAGAAAAATACAATTTGTAGCCTTCAGTTAACTTCTTTATAATATTTTTACCCAAAGTAACACTTTCTGAGATTATCATTTAGGTTATCACTTTTCTTCTTTTTATATAGAACATCCTTAAAACTGTATCATTTCAAATAGCCTCAACAGTATTTAAGGAAAATATTTTATCATTAATTGTGAAATATAAATTTCATACCTATGTTAGGGTGATTCAATATCTTCATTATTCGCACTTCTCGAAACAACTGTGAAAGAAAACAGGAAACATTTCTGCTAAAAAAGAACACTCAAGCAGAGAACCAATCAAAACATCTATTTGAAGAAATTTGTCTTCTTATAAGACACTATAGGATTCTGGTCAAATAAGAGATTTATTTCACAATTCCAATTCTACTAAGACTTGGCTTCCAGGACAATGTTAATTAATTGAACTTGAATGGTTGTGTTTGTGTGTGTGTGTGTGTGTGTGTGTGTGTGTGAATATACCATATACAATAAAAAAACAATCAAATACTCATTACTAGGAATAAAAGAAAAATACTATGGAAATGAAACTAAACGTACATTCTTATGATTTTTATCCAAAAATAACATTCTCAGGAGGTGGGGGGCCTGACTCTTTAGTTATCTCTACTGGTTGATCACACTATAAGCAATTATGAATAAAGGTATATAAACCATTAAGCTTTTGTGTGGACATAAATTTTCAATTCACTTGGGTAAATATCAAAGAGGAGGATTGCTGAGTGGTACAGTGAAGTATGTTTAGTTTTGTGAGAATCCAGCAAACCACCCTCCAAAGTGGCTGCACCATTCTGCATCCCCATCAGCAGCTGAGAGTTCCTGTTGTTTCACATTCTTGCCCCCATTCAATGTTGTCACTGTTCTGGACTTTCACCATTTTAAAGGAGTGCAGGAAGCCCCAATGGCTCAAGAGGTAAAGAATCCACCTGCAATGCAGGAGATGCAGGAGACTTGGGTTTGACCTCTGGGTCAGGAAGATCCCCTGGAGAAGGAAACAGCAACTCACTCCAGTATTCTTGCCTGGGAAATCCCATGGTCAGAGGAGCCTGGCAGGTTATAGCTCATAGGATCACAGAGTTGGACACGCCTGAGCACACACATGCAATGCAATGGGTGTGAAGTGGTATCTGTTGTTTTAATTTATTCTAGTTAGAGCAATAATATACAGCCATCGGGTTCCTATATCTCAAAGATGTCTAGAATATATTGTTCTATGCATAGTTACCTCTTTTTCAGGTGGATTTCTTTTTTCTTTTTCTTTTTTTTCAGGTGTACAGCAAAGTGATTCAGTTATACATATATATATATCTATCCTATATCCATATATGTTCTTTTTTAGACTCTTTTCCATTATAGGTTATTACAAGATATTGAGTATAGTTCTCTGTGCTATACAGTCAGTCCGTGTTGGTTATCTATTTTATCCTTTAGTAGTTTTTGACAAGAAGTGAGAAAAAAACAAAAACAAGCAACAGCATAAATGTGTGTATAAGCTGGGTATGTGCTGGTTTAAAGTGACAGGCAGCGATGGACAGAAGAGCAGCTGCTGCTGGAAAAAGTGATGACAGGGATTTTAAGTGCTTAATTGACTTGGAACAATGAAGTGCCAGAATCATGCCCTGCCAATCACCCTTATTCCTAAAGAAACACTTAAATTGTCAGCTAGATTTGTCATCAACCTTCCAAACCTAGAGAATTTGGGTCAACTGAACAGTAGTAGCACATGGATTCAGTAAAGCTTTATGATGTCTTTTCTACATGACTCCCCTTAATCGCTTCTTAAACTCTAATATTCCAGTTGGCTGCACAGAGGAGAGACCGGACAATGTCAAAGTCTTCTGCACAAGTCACTTGAGTCAAAGGTAGCAGAAGAAGGAGAGACAGTGAGTTCCTTACGCATATGTGATTTTTTCACCCAGAACACATCCTTACTAGCAAAGATGCCTATCTTATCCATGCTTGCTCTTCCTTAGTAAAGGGGGAGACAGAGAGGTGAGGGAGAAAGGAGAGTTGAACATTTAGACCAACTTAAGGTTACTGTGACATGGAGAAATGTTGTAAAAATCACGCATGCCTGTATACTACAAGAGACACAGGAGATGTGGGTTCAATCCCTGGGTTGGGAAGACCCCCTGGAGAAGGAAATGGCAACCCACAAGTCAAAACTATGGTTTTTCCAGCAGTCATGTACAGATGTGAGAATTGAACCATAAAGAAGGCTGAGCACTGAAAAATTGATGCTTTTGATCTGTGGTGTTGGAGAAGACTCTTGAGAGTCCCTTGGACTGCAAGGAGATCCAACCAGTCAATCCTAAAGGAAATTAGTCCTTAAGATTCATTGAAAGGACTGATGCTGAAGCAGAAGCACCAATACTTTGGCCACCTGATGTGAAGAACTGACTCACTGGAAGAGACTCTGATGCTGGGAAAGACTGAAGGTGGGAGGAGAAGGAAGCGACAGAGGATGAGATGGCTGGATGGCATCGCCAACTCAATGGACGTGAGTTTGAACTCCAGGAGAAAGTGGAGGACGGGAAGGCCTAGCATGCTGCAGTACATGGGGTCTCAAAGAGTCAGACACGAAACAGTGAACAACAACAACCAGTATTCTTGCCTGCAAAACGCCATGGACAGAGGAGCCTGGTGGGCTATACAGTCCATGAAGTTGCAAAGAATTGGACACGACTGAGCGAACTAACCATTATATATCCAGGCTAAGTAAGGACAACAAAAGTTTTCCATTGTTTTAGACCAACATTTATATGAGATTCCCCCAATTTTAAAATTTCAGTGTGATTAAAACACACATAAGAATTAACCAGGAAAAAAACAGAAGTTCATGAACATATTAAATAGTCCCATATTACTATTTTGAGTTTCTGATTCTAGTCCAAGTTTTTCTCTTGAAACTGTGACATCATGATGTTCCTTGCATACACAAATTTAGCAGGAGAGCTCTGGATTCACCAATACCTTTCAAACTATTGTTTTCAACTTTTCTGTTGGCTGGGAATTAAGGCCAGGGTTTTAAGACTGGGTATTGAATTAGAGAAGTAAATGCTGAGAGAAGGCTTGAGATGGATGGGTCTATGATGGAAGGGCAGGGACTTCACTGTCTGGACTTTGTGACAGCTCTTCTGGTTGTTCAGAGGCTTTTACGGTTTCCTCCTTGATTCCTGACTGTTTTAGGTAACTGAGGTTAGTGAACAAGCCTCAGTTCTGTGGAGAGGTGTTCACTTTTCAGTTCAGTCCTTCCTGGTTAGAGGTAAGGATCAGGATTAGGCAAACTCCAGTGAAGAACCAAAGAGTCTCTTGATGAAAGTGAAAGAGGAGAGTGAGAAAGCTGGCTTAAAGCTCAACATTCAGAAAACTAAGATCATGGCATCTGGTCCCATCACTTCGTGGTAAATAGATGGGGAAACAGTGGAAACAGTGACTGACTTTATTTTTCTGGGCTCCAAAATCACTGCAGATGGTGACTGCAGCCATGAAGTTAAAAGATGCTTACTCCTTGGAAGGAAAGTTATGACCAACCTAGACAGCATATTAAAAAGCAGATACATTACTTTGCCAACAAAGGTCCGTCTGGTCAAGGCTATGGTTTTTCCAGTGGTCATGTATGGATGTGAGAGTTGGACTATAAAGAAAGCTGAGAGCCAAAGAATTGATGCTTTTGAACTGTGGTGTTGGAGAGGACTCTTGAGAGTCCCCTGCACTTCAAGGAGATCCAACCAGTCCATCCTAAAGGAGATCAGTCCTGAGTGTTCATTGGAAGGACTGATGTTTAAGCTGAAACTCCAATACTTTGGCCACCTGATGCGAAAGTTGACTCATCTGAAAAGACCCTGATGCCGGGAAAGATTGAGGGCAGGAGGAGAAGGGGACGACAGAGGATGAGATGCTTGGATGGCATCACCGACTCGATGAACATGGGTTTGGGTGAACTCCAGGAGTTAGTGATGGACTGGGGGGCCTGGCGTGCTGTAGTTCATGGGGTTGCAAAGAGTCGGACATGACTGAGCAAATGAACTGAACTGAACTGATTAGTGTTAATCAATATGTATTTGCCTTATTTATGTCTTCTTTCAACTACTCTGTTCCTTCCAACCTCTTCCATTCCTTCTGCTTATTACTTTTTTGATGGTGGAAAAGTCTATTCTATTCATTAGTAGTCAAGTGGACACGGCCAAGACTATGCCCACCTTATTTACTCTCAAAGCATCATAGTCAGGGACCAGTCAAACGCCCATCATCATCTCTACCAGACCTGCTCACTATGCTGTTCTGGGACCTGTCAGTGTTAAAGGACTTCTTCATCATCTCCGTGTTCTTGGGCATACAGAGAAGAACTCTGGCCATGGAGAAATCGACAAAGGCAGTGGTCAACCTTGTTCCCGACAAGGAGAGCTCTTCTGGGCTGTCATCAGAGTCACAGTATGCTGGGCTCATAAGAGGAGGCTGACATTCATATCTTCTTGGGCCTTTTAACACAGCCTTTTTGGCCTTTCAAGTATTTTGCTCTTATTTGGGTTTGAGGAGGGGCAGAAGCTCTTCTTTGTCTCCACCGCAAACCTTGTAAAAATTCAAGTGTTTCTTTCACAGCAGTTTACTGGCCTATTAATGTGAAGTGCAGGTGCTGCTGTACCCTGCAGGTGATGTTCAGTTCTAAGAGAGAGGGCTTTGTACACACTTTCTCAGAGACACCAGTCATTGAGGAATTTTATGTACAATTTGCCTATATTAACAGAACCCTATAGATTAAACTCTCAGCTTTTTAATTTCTAGCATTACCAATTCATTCCTCTTTTACTTCAGACATTATTATTAGGACATCAAATATTTTATGAAGTTATTGCTAGTACCAGTATAAAAACTTAGTTTAGGCTAACTTCTCAAGTTCTCCCCATTAAATAGTTCAGAAAAAGAAATCTGAATATACTTAAATTAGTATATATTAGATGATTTCTAACTAAAAAACATAAAATGCTTAGTATTACTTCTAAACTTGACAACTTGTAGTCAATTATTAAATGCAAAATAATAGGTTCTGCCACTTTGCCTAAATTTTACCTTCATATATGAATGATAATTTTTTTTTTTTAATGAACTGGTACTAATTTTATAGTGCTACAGTCTTTCCCAAGGGCCTTTTTTTTTTTTTCAAGAGTACTGGAGTGTGTTGCCATTTCCTTCGCCAGGGGATCTTCCCGACCCAGGAATC